ATGGTTCGTCCCAACCGTCCCATCCCAGATTCTTATTTATTATAGTTTTATATGTTTAAATTTTAATCGTATTTAAATAATAAAAATAAATAAATAGACAGGACAACTCTATCCTACTCCTGTCCCGTCTAATTTCCATCTCTAGACCAATAGACCTCCACGTGACTCAACCTAGGAATGTGGCTTATCAGACCATTAGCAAAAACAGATGCATGCTTCACTGCATAAAAAAAATTGATATATAAATAATGATAATATTAATAGTCACTAAAACTTTAGCTCGGCATTTATTTATCTATTTTCAAAAATGAATTTCCAAAAATGAGTTTACAAAGTAAACTGAAAACGTCAAAAATGTCGTTTTGGTGTTTTCAGTTCAAACCAAGCCAAAATTTTCAAAACACGTTTTGGCCGTTTTTAGTTACGCCACCAACGAAAACCACTGCCATCGCCACCTGTACCACACCACCGCCGTCACCGCCAAAACCACCACACACCACCTGTTTTCAAGTGGTTTTTGTTGGTGGCGATCCCAAAACCACTGCCGCCACCACACCCAACACAACCGTCACGACCCAAAACCACCACCGCCACCACCAACACCACACAACCCAAAACCACGCAACCGGTGCCGCCACATCCAATCAACAGCAGAGATGAGGGGAAGAAGAGAGAGAGATGTCGCCGCCACACCCAACAGTAGAAGAAGCCGGTCTTCAATGCTGGCGACCTTGCGAGGTGTCGTGAGAAGGGGAAGAAGAGAGAGAGAGGAGAAAAAGAGAAGAGAACACATTTTTCAATTTTGGTTTTTTGAAAATAATTTTTCAAAATAACAAAAAGAACACATTACCAAAAATAGAGAGAGACGTCAGAGAGGAGAGACAATAGAGAGAGGGAGAGAAGAGAGAGAGAGAGAGAGAACAAATTTTGGGTGTTGTCATTTTTGAAAATAATTTTTCAAAATAACAAAAAGAACACATTTTTCAACAATCTCAAAATAGACGTTCAAAACACAAAATTTAAAATGAATTCAAAACGAAAATCTGAAATACAAAGAAATTAATAAAAATTTAAGTCAAAATCAGTAATTAATTTTAAGCATGCGTTTCATAGGATCGACATTTTTTTTTTCAAATTTTCAATCACATATTTTTATCAACTTTTATCAAAATTTACTAAAAATTTGATTTTTGAATTTACAATAGCGATTCATAACGTAATTAACTTACAAAAATGCATATTTAATTAAAATAAATTTAAAAGTGTAAGATTGTAGTTTGGCGTGAATCACAAGTTAGGGCCAAGTTTAACGTGTCTAAAAAGTACTATGTTTAACACAATCTATTATAATTTTTTATGCGATCCATTCTTATACCTCTATCTCGAATAGATTTGGACATCGGATGGACCGTTCCAAGTATTTCAATAGCTGAAAGTACCCATTATTTTGAGTATCTCATAAATGGAACAATTTGGTTCCATGCAATAACTAGAACCAAACTCGAACTTGAACCGAAGGTTTCAATTCGGATTTGGTTCTATCCATAATATTTTTGTTACAAATTTAAACTAACAATACAAGTTATTGTCTCAATATCTAGTAGAAATTGAAGAAATAAGATATGTCACCAAATGTATATTTCAATACTTTTTTAATGACTTAATCCAATGCAAATATGTCATTAAATAACGTCCAATATCTAGTATAATAGTATCCAATTACAATGTGGCTCTAAGTGCAGCATCCCATCATTCCTGTTCAAAAACCAAGAATCGATCTAAACCTGTTTGATTCTCGATTTCGATTCCCAATTTATTTTTTCGAAATTGGACCGAAACCTTTGATTTCGATTTCATTTCCGATTAAAATGAACAACCCTAATCTCGAATGAATAACATTACGTTCTTGCCAATATTGAGAATAGCAAGGGCACTGAAGGCCGGGAACTAAATTTACAATTTTAAAATTGTCAAGATAATTTTGCTCCTCAAAAAATTGACCTTTAAAATTGTCAAGATAATGTTGCATAAGAGAGTAATTTGAAAAAAAATTCAGATATCGACATTTTGGTATGTTTGGACTATTTATAATAAAACTTTATAATATATTTTGGTTATAATGTGTAAATATATAGTAATTGATTATACAATGCTGACACCTCAAACTAAATCTAATGAACAAAAATAACTTAAAATCTTATTCATTATATTAAATAACGTTGTACAATAATGAAAATTATATAACGAAATAAATATTTTATTTTATTTTACAATCTTCACGGCCGATCTTGTTTTACAAAATTTTGCTATAACAATTTTCAATTCAAGCAATAAGTTTATTTTAGTGTGTGTTTGATGCACTTTTTTTTTTAAGGAAAGAATGCATTTTTATTTTTTTTAGTAATGATATTCATCCCCAATAGGGTTACAAATGCAGTCTATGTGGCGTTAAATGATATGTGAAATTAAGAGCTTGTTTGGTAGAGATTAAAATTGAAAAATTAGCCGTTATTGTTGACTTTTATTAGACGAGTGAGACTCAATAACGGCTATATTTTCAATTTTAACTGGATTAAAATTCCTCTCATACAAGCTCTAAATAAGTCGTTTAATTCCACATTTCATTTAACCTATCATTTAGAGTCACATAGACTGTGTTTGTAATCCCACTGGAGATGAATAACATTACTCCTTTTTTTTGATGTGATAGTGAATATGTGATTGAAAAAGATGGAACATTTATTGATGTGATAGAAAATATTATTCTATTGAAGAATATATGATTGAAAATGAGTAGAAAAATGAGCATGAAAATGAGAATGTAGCTCAAACAGGGGCTTAACTATTGTAATTGGAACACGAATATTCGTATATCCTCTTGCTTGATTTAAATCCCACGAGAACAACGAGCAGAGGGGAGAAAAGGACCCAAACTTTCATTGTATTGCATCGTGTCCCCAATCTTCAAATTGTAGCTTTTACATCTCCAGTCTGATTTTTATAGCACTAAAGTCAACTTGACAATTTTACCCTCGTCTTCAATTAAATTTATTAATTTTACATACAATATTTCCCTTCTTTTTATGTAAACAAAATATTAAATGAAAGATAAGAACATAAAATTTCTTCTTTCTCCACCGTATCCCAAGTCAACTTCTATACAAAGTAATAATAATAAGACCCTATTTGAGAGAAATTTTAATCAGGATTTTAATCAAAAATTTAGTCATTAATTATCAAATCAACCACCATTTTTTACCTTCCCTCTCACAGGTGGAGTCCACGGGTTGACTTTAACGGCTATAATTTTGATTAAAATCTTACAAAAATTTCTCTCAAACACACTCCAAAAAAAATCTACAACTATAGCTAATCAGTGCCAATCATTTTGACGTGGGCTTACCGAAGAAAATCCATTAATTCTTTGTTAATTTAAATACATGAATAAAGATAAGATTATCTTTTTAAAATTTGTTAACTAAACGTAGGAAAAATAAGTATCCAGTTTCGCAACCTTCTGAATAGAATGGTATAACACTTCAACCTTCAAAAGTGATGTTTTGATTCCTCGGTATAGATAAAGTTGAGATATTGAATCCCCTTATAAAGTAGGTCTACTGCCTACAATACAGATGTTAAAATTGTAGGTAACATTAAAGTAAATTAAAATTAAGGGCAAAATCGTCAAATTTCTTAATATAATCTAATTTTTAGCGTGAAAGTCAATGAATTAATATTCACATTGTCGATCTTCATCATGTAAAGACCAATCTAGTAACATTAAGTTGAGGATTCATTAAATCACTTTTGAAAGTTTGGAAGTCATTTTCATACTACCTGAAAGGCTGATGAGTATTGCCTCAAATTTCCTATTTACCGTAACGGTACTATGGACCTAAATACTGTTAAAATGTGGGGAGAGTAGAGATGTAAAGGTTCCGTTTTGAAAAACTCGTGCGCCAAAGTTTACGGGTAGCTGTATTTTCCCAAAAAAAAAATGAACAAAACTTTGATAAGTGGGACCCATTAGATAGGCACAAGAAAGGGGGCCAACTACCAAAACGACAAATCTCAGCCCTCCATTCATCCTCGACGATTCCGTCACCTCACATCCTCGCCTCCTTGGACTTTGAAATCTCTCCTCTTTCTCCACCATTTTTTATTCTATCTTGGGAGTTGGGAAAATTAGCTTACAAGTTACAACGAGTCCGAGGAGGAAATACCAACCGGTTAGCAGAAAATAAGGCAAGAAATACATATATTTTCTCTTCGTATATATATGTAATTTAGACCAAGAAATTGTTAATTTATTCATTTTAACAGGTGGGTTTATGGAGGAAAGAAAGAAGAAAGTGGAAGAAGAAGGGAGCTTAAATGGGTTCTCTCCAGTTTCTTCTACTCCGGTTTTTTGGAAATCTAGGAAAAGATTAGGTTCGTTTATATATTTTTTCTTAAGTAGCAACTGGGTTGAATTTTTTTTTCCTATTTTTTCAATTATTTTTTGCTTATTTGATGTATTTGCTTACTGATGGAATTATTTTCTTAAGTAGATTTTATGTGAAATTCAATTATAACTTACAAGTTATAATCTTGATTCACCTTTCTTCTAGTTATATGCACGCTGCAGTTTTTAGACAAGAAATTCTTCTTGATACGAGTTCAATTTTCTTTTTTCCTTTTTCCCTTTTTTTTTTTTTTTTGGGGAGATGGGGGTGGGGTGGGGGGGGGGGGGGGTGGGGTGTGCTAAGTGTTGTATAATATTTAAAACGTGGACATTTATATATCCATTATTATTTTAAATCTTCAAAAAGAAAATAAAAAATTCGTACAAATTAATTGAGTATTAATTATTTTATGCAAAGAATCATTGGATACCCAAAAAAAACAAATGAATGTGATTAATAAAAAAAAAAAGTGTGATTTAAGAGTATTGGGTTGGGTCCATGACTGATTGTGACATTCAGTCAAAATGGCTTGACAATTTTTTTCAAAATTAATTTTTGTTATTTCTATAAAGAGGATGAGCTTATAACTNTTTAAACTTGGCCAAACATCCAATGAATACAAATGGTTTTGTATACTATTTTTCTATCTAATGCAACAATTGTGGTTCATTGATTTGCTGAAATAGTTGTGGTGATGGAGCCACCTTCTTTTTTATTTGTTCAATGTATACCTACTGTTTTGTAAATTGATTGCTGCTTGATTGAAATTTCTTTTAGTCTTTTCCTATTGCACCTACATTGAGATTAAATTGTTCTTTAACTTGTTGACTGTCAATAGGAGTTCGCTAGGAAGCCGAGAAATCATATCGTTAATCATAGTCTTCTTAGTAGATATTCAAATTAAGTCATTTCAATTTCATAATGTGGTCCCTCGATTATTTTGTATATTACTCCTATTGGACCAATGTCCACAAATGTTTCTCACTACCCTCTTTATGTGCACCTTATGTTAATCAAAGCCAATTAAAGATACATAGCAAGGACGATAAGAAAAGCTAAGGAGAGGAAACATTTGCTTTTATCATATAAAAATTCATCAATAAACTATACAAGTGCTTAGAATACTACTGACCAGTTGGGTTAGTTTATCAAAATCCAAATTATTCCTATGAACTCACTCATGGGAATTATAGAGTCAAAAGAGATATTGAGTCCGAAAGGGAGGGAAGCTAATGATACTATAAATATGGATATGAACTTTTTTCCTAGTACTCTAGAAGGGGGAGAATTCCTCACGGCACAATGCAACACGAGAAGACAACTTTGTTCTATTTGGAGGACTGGTGCCAACAGTTCATCATGGAAGAAAAGATTCATAATAATACTATCACGTCTTATAATGCATATGTAGTTTTAGAATCTATTGGTTGGTAATATGGATCATTTCTTGCTTGAAAGGGCTTTTCACTTTTTAGTGCCTAACTCTTGACATTCTGACAGTCAAATTAGTAGTCACTTTGGTATAATTAAGTTTATTGAAAGCGAGTAAACAATTTTAGCAGAGTGGACTTGCATTGCATATTCTCTTTTGTGTGTGGGGTTCCAGTACTATTTAAAGGAGTTTAAAAATTGTTTTACGTAAGGAAGTTCTCCGCTTGGTAGAGCATTTTTTCTGTCAGTGGGGGAGTAGTTGCTTATGCAGTTACCACTATCATAATTCCAGCATGTTTAACACTGTCAAAAATACTTTTTATTCACACATTTCGTAGGACTCACAATTTACTATCCATGAGAAATTTTAGAAATTCTATTGAATCATTTGTTCTAAAAGCTTAAACTAAAGATAGGGTCGCACGCATATTATTTAAATATTGTCTTCAATATGCCCTCTCAAGTGTAGATGACTTTATTTTTCCCATTAAAGCCTAAAACGTGGATATTGGGATTTGAGTTACATTTTCTGTTTAGTGTGCATACAGCCCCACCCCCCGGAATCAAATTCTTAGTTTTTCCCTGCGTGGTTCATACTCGGTGGTCAATTCTTTCAGCATCGAGTGCAAAGAATTTAGACAGTGCAGTAAATGATTCCAAAACTGATAAAACAATGGAAAAACAAGAAGATACTATCATGGACGAAAACCAGCAAGAATCAAGCAGCGTTTCTGTTCTTTCTGAGAAACGGAAGGCTTTATTCGAACCACTGGAACCAGTAAGTGGTCGACGACCTTCAGCTGAATCCTTACTTCCGCCTCCTGACTTTGAATCTGCTAGCTATCCAAAGGGGTGGCTGATTGGGAAGAGGCGAAAGCTCGTAAATGTTGACGTTGTCGAGAGTATGCGAAGGATTGCGGTACAGGAAATAAATCGAAAGGTGCTTAAGCCATTTGTCTCCTATTTTCTGATATGACTGAATCGTAAGATATTACTTAAACAATAGATAATGCATGCAGGATAGGGAAATAGATGGCCTAAACGAGCAATTAGAAGAGGATGCTCGAGTCCTAGAGCATCTTCAACTCCAGCTACTGGAAGAACGAAGCAAGCGCACTAATGTAGAGAGGACAAATGCTATGCTGCAAGACCAAATTACAATGCTTATGAATATGTTACAAGAGAATGAACCAGAAGAGGATGATGGACCCGACGAGCCCTGAGTTTCATTATTTTTTTTTCTTTTTATGCCGTATTCTTTTGTATATTTATATGACAAAGTCTTAAAATAAGCTTTGTTACAGATGTATCGTCTCGTCTACCTTGTTTTGCTCTTGTAGTTTTAATTTGATTGCTGTGTAAGGTGAGTTAGAGAGTATAAAATACTGAATGTGTATGAAGATGTTATAATTCTGCATGGTTTGTTGATGCCGAAATAATGAAATGAATTATGTTTGCACAAATTACCGATTAGTGTTTATTTCGTCTTCCTTTGCGGGATGATATTTGTCATTTCATTGCATTTTGCTCAATACAATAATTTTTGTACACTTCGATCATTACATTTGACATGTTGACCTTATAGAGTTAGTACACTCTCATTTCTTCAGCATGCATATATATCAAACTGAATGAAGAAAAGTGATTTACATAGTCCACAGGCAGATCTTGTTTGCCTTTTACCTATTTTTCCTTGAGAAAATTTTAGCAAAGATCCTTAATGTCATATCAATGTTTGAATTTCTATATATTTTAAATTTTTTTGATACCAAGGTATTCCATAGACCATTTAAATTTCAAATCTCCCATCTTTTTATTGATTTTATCTGTTGATTCAGTGAATTTACAATAACAATTAACAACAACACGTACTCAAATCATAGAATTTAAGGATAAATCAAATAGACTTTGATGGTATTTAGCAACCAACAAAGTCGAAGGTCCTATAAGAATCGACGAAAGTTTGTATCCAATCTTCGATATGAAAACCAGAAGCCAGGACATAAATACATAAATGACACATCATTTGTTTGAACATGTGCGCATCGTACCTACATCAAAAGGTAAATTCAAGACGAACCCAAATTTTCGAAATCAACAATCGGGATTCTTCATTAATCTCAATTTCCGAACCCACATAAACCTACTAAGGTACATACATACGCAAGTTACAGGGGCAAATTAGTCGACCCTTTTATTAAGTTAAGAACAAATTGATTATCTAGCTCGATTCTCAAAATCTTCTGAGATATTGAACAAGAACTGCGGCAAGGATGCTATCTTAGGGAGATTGAGCAGCAACTCTCCAACCGAGTCCTTCCTGGTAATCAATGGCGCCTGTTTATCAACAGAGGAGTCATCACTACTCTCTTCAACCTTGATTTTACTAGTAGAAGCCTGAAAATTGTTTGATTCACCATTTTTCTTTTCCACGAAAGACATTTGAGTACCACGTGTACTTTTACAATGCATGTCGGAATCCAGTGCATTGTCTTTCTGCAAAAGACAGCAGAGAGAATTGACCCTTGACATGAGAGACACATCAGACTCTGGCATATGTTGGATGTCACTAAATAGGCATCGGTTGATATCATCTAAAATCTGCAAGTTTTGCCATTCCTCACTTGAAAGGGTTGGATTATTGGATTCTTTCTGCTCTGATATCCGGTGCTCAAGGTGGCTCACAAGATCACTCATGGACATAGAGTGTTGGAGCCCAGTCACGGTGAAGTTGCCAAGTGCCTTAAGTTGCTCCATCCCACCATTTTTCATATCTTCAATTTTTAGTGAGTCCCTAACTGCATAAAATGGCAGTATTATAACATGAGAGAAGAAAAAAAATAGTAGTTTTTCACATTTCCTTCAATTTAAACTATAAACAAGGTGACAAGCATTGATCCATTATAATTAATGATGAGCAAGAAATAGGCAATGATTTAATTTTTTATAATTTGTGAAGCCTGTGATTAGTTAATAGCTATTGTGATATTGAGATCCAAAAGAAACAGACACAATAAGTTTCAGCAAAAAGCAAGGATGACCACTCCATGTTACGATGGAAAAAGAAAAACTTGCTAATCGACTTCATCATGCTACAGAAACTATCAAAACAAGAAACTGTGAGGCACAGTGTAAAATAGTTCATTATTTTTAGATTCAAAAGAGGAAAAAGGACCGAAATGATAAATTCTGGTTCTACTCTTATTTATTATTTAACCAAGTAGGTATCTAAACCAGTCTATGCTAACCAGCAAGCAAACAAGTAAAATCATGCTTAATTCCAAAGAGAAACCTGAGATAATGGTCGCTTTTTGCCCATCGATGCTCTATGTACCAAACAGCCAAAACAAATCATGTATACCAAGCAGGCAGACCATATCCAATTGACCAAATTGTCAACACCAATTAGTGTCATGGTTTTTATTGTAGTCAATGTATGCAGAAATGGTTTCCCCGATGAATTACAATGAAAAATGATTTTTGGAAGAATGTGTAATTAAATGGTGGGAAAAGTTGTGAGTCCCATAGAATGTGCAGTTGAAAATGAATTTTAAAAAATCTTCGACGAACAAGCCGTATCTTTTTAAAATATGTAAAATCACTATCACATTACCATCAATTGAAATCAATTTTTTCTCAGATATTTAATAAACAAGAAGCTATAGGGACAATTACTTGTAATATACTAGTAATCCAAAATGTTATTTCACATTGCCTCTTCTAGATTTATAACTCGGCACGAAAGCTTCATACAACTAAGACAACAACAAAAAGACCAGAAAATTTCATCCAGAATAGTTTAGTTCAATAAGAAACACATCCAATTATGTTAAATTCATTCCTTATGAGTGCATTCAATTGTCCTCAAATTCATTCCTCATTGGTTGTACCTTTAGAGTTACATGCTCTACGAAGATTATATATGTGTATTCCTTTTTCTACTAACGGAGAATGGACGACTCATTTCAGACTCCTCAATTCACATAAATGGACATGAGCCAACTCCTGGGTTACCACATTTGACCACACCTCCCTTCACGTTCCGCAGACCAATGACCATTACAGTAATAAGTGAATTAAAAAGAGGTGGGATATCAAGTCTGTTCGCCAAAAAAGAAGCAACAACTCACTACACTATGAACTTCTATCAAGTCCATTTTCTTTCAATTTTCTTTAAGTTTTTATGAAAACATAATGTGAAAAACTTCGATTAGAGGCTAGCTAAGAACATGGATACAGAAACTGGAACACAGACACCCCATGGGAACACAGAAATATAGTTTTACAAAAATGCTAAATAGAGGCAAGTCAGTGACATGTTGATAGAAATTCTCTTTATTATCTATCATATTTTATCTCTGAACTTATATTTCAATAAAATTAATAAACTTTTCTAGCTTTGATCTTGACTTCTGCAATTGAATCTTTTGACTTTGAAGAATGGTTAATTGGTTGTATTAAAATTAATTTAAATCATTTTGTATTACCAGAACAAACAAAAAAGAAATAACCATGAGCCAGAAAGTGTAGTAGACAAAAAAACCAAATTCAACATCAAATGCATAAAGGTTTTCGCATATTATTTTGACTTCATTACAGAAACTTTTGACAAATTAAATTTTTTACTTCTCTTATATTCCAAGTTATATAAAATGGGTATTCTCCTTTGATATTTAAAATCCATGGCCTTCACGTGACAAATTAAAAGAAAGAAAAGCTATATGGCATATCCACCATACCTGAGGCATGTTGACCACCGAAACTCCATTCTAGAGTACTATTCGTGCTCACAGGACAGTAATATTGGTGCATACAATGGATGAAGAACACGGACATATCAGAAAAAGCTAGTCCAAACACACTTTTGTGGCATGCATAACCCAGCATAACATAAGAAATACAATATCCCTCATGAATTATGTAATTGAAATGAATAATGTTATTTATCATTATGATAATGGAACATTGGTGATGTGACAGTCTATATGGAATAATGGGATTGGACAGTTCAATTTTCAATTTTTATGAGAGAGGGAGGAGGAGAGAGTGAGAAATGTGAGGGATAATGGGATGTCATATCATCGATATTTCATCATCATGATGATAAATAGCATTAATTGAAATGGGTGAAAGGGTTTTGCAAGCATGCACATATATACTTCTCAATAGTTAAAAATAACAGTTAAGTTTATCATATTACTGAGAAATAAAGAAGTTAAAGTTAGCATATTTTCATCAAACATTACCCGAGCTTGGTGATAATCTTCCAAGACGGAAAGATTCTGGATGTCTGCCAGGAGCATCTTGTTCGAAATTTGAGGAGGAAGATTGAGCTACAGATGGGGATGCAGTATCCTGTGAGGTGAATAAGGAAGGACTATCCTCCCTACTCAAATCAAATGTGTCATTTTCACTTGGATCGTCAAACATGGAGATTCTTGGTTCAAAATGTGGAGAATCCAAAGTTGTCTCTCCTTGCTGACTGAGAAAGTTCAGACGGGGATCACATTGAATAAGTTTTTCAAAATGCTTTCCTAACAAGCCTTGAGGACACTCCAGATAATGTCGCCTACAAAAAAACACAAGAAGCCATGTGCATAAAAAGAACATTGCGGCAATAACACCGTAGCAAGTTGGAATAAGAGAAACATGTGCATGGAGACATAGATGCGTGTAGCTCATACAGACCTACGCATATGTGTATATATTTACATGTTTTGGATCCGCCCTCTTAAATTCAAATTCAATGTTCTGTCTATTTATGGAAGGTCAAACCAACACAATTGTTTTGGCGAAATAGAATACATACATACATATGTACAAAGCCACATGTATATGATGTGAATATACATGTATATCTACATATCCTGTAAACTTCCAACATTGGACTACTACAATTAGCAGGATATCTCCTAGCACCCAGTGAGCAACAACTACCGAGTTTGCATCATGATATCTGCTCCGCATATACACCCTCCACACATGTGCACTGTGCAGGGGTGTTCAATGTAGAATGGACATAATTTAGTTGAAACAGCTAACAAAATAATGAGCACTTATCTGGCCCCCAAAGAGGAAACAGAAAAATAGAGCATCGTCTAGCATAGAACACAAATCAAGACTCGGTATTCCACTGCCAGGTAGTAAAACTCATTGTACCTTCGTATGCTAGCCTGCCCACCAGTAAAGTCTGATGTTGCCTGCCAAAGGGTGTGCTTCCTAG